AAATAATCAATGGGAACCTACATTAAAAGACACTACAAATGTTGCCTTGAAAATAAGTTTGTTGAAATACTAAAATGACTACAATTAAAACTGAAATTAAAATAAGTTAAAGCTAAATGGAAATAGAATAATAATTAAAATGATAAAAGCACATAACAAAACTAAAATTAAAGTTCTAAAAATGTAAATTAAATTTTTTTTTTTTTAATTGTTCTAATTGTGCTTGCTTCAGAGGGCTTTGAAATGAACATTTAAATGATCTTCTACAGGAGCACTGTCCACTGGCCTGGGGAAACGTCAACTTGTTTGACTACACACACACTCTGGTCTCAGGAAAGATGGCACTGAACCTGTGGCCAGTACCACACGGCCTTGAAGACCTCCTCAACCCCATTGGGGTCACGGGCTCCAACCCTAATAAGGTTTGCTCTCTTGCATAACCTCTTTGAGCACTGAGTCACTTTAATAAGCTCTAATACGATTCCTCTAGGTTGTCTAATCTGAGGTGACATGGTTAATCAATAATAAGTAAGTATAACTAAATAAGTATTTTGCTTATTTAGTTATTTTTTTATTTACAAGAAAAATCGAATGGCCTTAATACAAAATTTAGTAGTGTATCTGCATAGATGCTAAAACTGTATTAGTTCTTATTAAAGTGTTATTTAGTTACTTGATTTGTTAATGTGTTTTGCTGTATATTTCATTTATTCATTTATTTTTGCTCTAGGAAACCCCATGTCTAGAGCTGGAGTTCGACTATTTCAGCTCCCCTGTTAAGTACCCTGACATGGCCACGATTGAGGATCATGCTAACTGGATAATATCCAGGGAGATGGGATACAATTACTGCCAGTCTGGACAGGTTAGCTTACAGACACGCATCCTAATTAATTAATTATACTGACACACTTCCTGCTGCTATTAATACCCTTTACAAGCCTGAGGAGCATGAGAAACATCGGCCATTTTCTACGGTCACCTCACGAGTCTGTGTCATTATTCCAATTATTAATTATCATGTTCATTAATTTGACTTTGTAATAGATCTCAGCAGTGACAGTACACTTTTTTTTT